ACCGGAAGAAATGTGTGCTCACAAAATCGTTATGACAGAACTCCACTGACCTCGCACCTCATAGATAATTCACAATTCCAGTGGTATTTCATAATTTGGTGCTGCACCGCCCCATGCAATAGGCCGCCAATTTAAGCGCCACCACACGAAAAGAACAATGAATATCCGTGCTGCTGTCAATGTGTTAAATAATAACATAGAACACCTCAGAACACCAGGGATGGTTCACCACACAAGTAAGATTCAATCACAACTTCAAATAAAATTAATAATTCAATCATATAGTTCAAATACACATGAAATTAATTTTCCATTTACACCTCCTCTATAAATTTACTCCTTAAGTTCGATTAGAAAGAATCAATGTTTTCCATAAGGATCACATGGGTGACAAAAATAGACCACTATAATAAACATAAGCAAACTTTACAACTAAAACACATTTATTAATGTAGGATCAAAATATATTAAAATAGCTGGTCAGACTGCCCCTACATCAGATTGCTCGAATGACATTCAAATCATTTCTAGTACAAGCGATATTCATGGGACAGAGGAATTACAAATTTAAACATTGGAGTACAATATTTTGTTTAATACTTAAAAGATATTGGCTGTTCTTAAATTTCATTTGAATTTTAAACCTTAAAATTTCACATATTCAAATATCACATATCAACAACTACACCATATCAATGTTTAACCTTACAAATCCTTTTCATTACTGCAAGAAATTATAAGAGCCGAATTATCTTTTCATGCATAAACTTTCAAATCACCTTGGCACAACAACCCTGTTCTCTGTATTTAAAATTTTTAAATACTATTTCTACTGATTAACTTAATATAAAATAAAATGGTCATAACTAGATAAGCAAAGAGATTAGAAAATAGTGGAAAGAAAACTCGCATTTAATAACCCACTTGACAAGCCTGGTAAGAGAACTTACATAAAATAATCCCACTTGATATGCCTGGAAAGAGATGATCAGATGTGTATCAGTCTATGAAGGAGAGAACACAGTTGCTTGCTGCAGTATCCAAATCAAATATTCCTCACCATTTGTTCTCTTAGTGAAATTTCAGTATGCCCAATAGTCTCTTAAGGAAGGAATTCAACTGCATGTTCTATTGTCCCAATCAAATCTTATTCAGCATTTGTTCTCTAAGCGAAATAATGATATGTCTATCAGTCTCTGAAGGAAGGAATTCAACTGTATGCTGTATTGTCTCAAGTCTCAAATCAACTCTCATTCACCATTAGTTTTGTTAATGAAATTCCTATATGTCCATCGGTCTCTGAAGGAAGGAAAGGAGTTTCATGTAGTATTGCCAAATCAAATCTTCTTCACTCTTAGTCTCCTGCTAGCAACACTCTGAATCTTGCTTTAAAAGTAGTATATCTTAGCAGCTGTGGAGGCCATGATTAACCCAAAATTTCAAGCATGAAAAGAGCTCATCTTGTCTATGGAAACTCATTATTCACATGCAACTATTCACATGTAGCCAGGATAGCTGTGAAGAAACGCACCCATCAAATTCCTTAACACCTGGAAAACTAGACTCTCAGATCATGGTCGCTGGGCTACAGTTGAAATCTTATTATTCTCTGTCTCTCACCCCCCCTTTTTTTAATTTTCAATAAGGTGGAAAAATCTGCTCCTGCCTCTTGTTCAACAACTTTTAAAACCTCGGTAACTTTAAACAACAGACCACCTCTAAATTCACCTTTGGGTCAAATTAACTATAAACTAATATTTACCAACCAAACACTTATCTTGAACTTTCTCTAACTAATGAGAAAAAGGATAATAAATTGCCTCCAAATTTCAAAGAAAAGACTCACCTCTTTTTTAACATATCCGTTCTCATGCAAAACTTCAAACAGTCATGACTTTTGCAGAAAGAAGTACACTTAATGCTGTTCATGAAGTCTGCACAAGTGCTGTATCATGAAGATCTACTGCTCACTGCCTGTACAATGCAAGATTTTCCAGAGTGTGACTTACATAAAGCTCTAATACTAAGACCTCTATTGAGCAAGCCCTTGCGCTGAACAATAGGTTGACTAGATTAACAAAATTTGTGAACTCATCAATACAGCTTCTTTCAGTATCACACAATTTTAGATAAATCCATTACCAAATCATCCTCACAGTCATAGGTACTCTGATCAGGGTTGCCACTCAAACAGGAGAATGAAATTCCCTGACTTTTCCAGGTTTTCCAGGTGTGTTTCAAGAAAATTCCAGTCTATCCGCGTAATGTACATTGGCTGTACTAAGAGGTAAATTAATTATGCTATTACTTGTATTGTGTAGCAAATTCACTTAATTATTTAATAAATCCCAGAGGACATTTATTCTTAATTATTCTTGGTATACTTTGTTTGATAATTTTGTTTAGTTTTCCACTTAAGAAACTTAATAAAATTTAAGATATATATATTGGATAACAAATGTATGTTTTATTTAATTATTACTCATGATCATCACCAGTTCAACACAAGGCTAATCCGGTCCTTATAAATCACAATGCAATGCTAAATAGTTAGGTTAGATTTTAGGTAAATTTAATTTGCGTGAGGTATGTTCTTAAAAGGCACCTTAACACTTGAAAACACAAATATATTATAATAGTTGTTGTTTTCTCCACTGAAGATTGAAATTAGAATCTTCCCAATCTGGAATAAAACAAGGCTTTTTTTCAGACATTCTGCAGGCTAAACGAAAGAAAGAAATCTATTTTAATAAATTGAGGTATTTTATATTTATTTCGCAGCATACATAAGGAAAAATGTGTGCATTAAATTTGTATAAAATTTGGTATGTCATCATACTGGCTATAATTAATTTCAGGATTATGCCAGAGAAAATTTCCTGAAAATTTTGGAAATATTATTTACTAATAATAAATAAATTTAGAGGGAAGAAGCGACATTAAATTATATGAATAACATAAAAATAATTACTTAAAAATTGAATTAGAATAAGCAACAATATTTTAGCGAATATAGTTATATTACATGGCTAGCCTAGATGACTGATTACTATTTTTTTATTTTACTGAAAAACGGCAAGGTATTTATTAAAAAGGAAAAAAAAAAGGTTTAAAAAGATTTTGCGGGGTAAAATTCTAGTATACGTAAGGCTTTGGCACGATTTTGAAAATTGTCGCCAAGACCAAATGACCCGTTTACTGCGCATCAGATGTCGCCAAATCCCATAATTATTCTAACAAAGAATGTCTATGTAAAGAAGAAAAGGTTCCATACCAGTAAAATGCTATTACGCCGATAGAATGCGGAGGGAAAAGAAAATTTGCCAAGGGATTTGGCAACGGAACCTAGCGGCCAGAATTTCCCTCTCCGCGATGTGTACAGGAAATTGAGAGAGAAACACGTTTTAAGAAGAAATGCTTTTTGACAAAAGAAAACTACGAAAATCCGTTTTTAAATTATTGCGAAAAATCCAAGAAACGTTTTATCAAAGGACGTTTCTTCTTTGGATTTTCGCAATAATTTTAAAAACGGATTTTCGTAGTTTTTTTTTTTTTTTTTCCCTGAAAATAACTAATGCATGAATTAATTACTGCGCCAAAAATATTTCTTTTCCTTTAGAGTTAAACCACTTGTGCTAAGACTAAACTTCACGGTTGCGGTGCCGTGTGCTACAATATAACAAGCGGTAAAGTGTTCATTTACGCCGCTCCGCATCTGCGAGTGCAATCCAGAGCTGTAACTCGAGAAATAAACAATCTCGTTGTTAGGCGACGTGTGCACCACGTTATTTTCATTTTTGCGATAAATGCTTATCGACGTGTTCACGTCGCTCGCGGTTTGAGACAAAAGCATCTTTGACGTGCGTGGCACGTCTTTTTAGCGCAAGTGGTTAAAGAAATTTTAAACGATATTCATTTTATGAACTCTTGATAACGTGACCTTCGAACTTCGACACCGGTTTCGAGCTTTGGCAACAGATATATCAGACATGCACAGCTGTTTTCCCTCTATGATGGAACGGAGCCACAGCCACGTCTGTTGCAGAGAGGTTTTCCTTCTTTACAATACATATTCTTTGATTCTAACCTCCATGGTACTGTATACTAGGATTAAACCCATTTTGTTTTATATGAGAACAGGTACTTTCTTTAGTTCATACACTGCACATGCGATTCTCGAGAATATTGGAAACCAAAAGTTGCTTTGCCTTTCTAAAAGACAATCAAATTGGAGCTGCGAAAATTGGCTCTATGGCAGCTACCCGAATGACACTCACGTGATACATAATTCGCCAAAAAAGTTACCTCTTCCGACGTCGGCGCAAAAATCGCTTTTTTTGGCTGGATCGTTGTATGAACTTCCCTGACTTTTCCAGATTTTGAAAAAAATACTTAAATTCCCTGACTTGAATTCCCTGAATATTTTGGTCAATTTTCGAATTCCCTGACTTTTCCCGGTTCTCCAGGTTTTCCAGGTAGCGTGGCAACCCTGTCTGATGTCATAACTGCACTTGCATTTCATTTTTTCTCTTAATACCCTCCCTTTGATGCACATTTTCCATGTACTGTGGCAGGCCCATTATTCAAACACTAGCTTTATTTATTTATTTATTTTGTGATTTGTAAAATCAGTCTTGAAATATCTGTATGATACATTTTATCCAGATTAAAGAATGTTTCTTTATTTATTTTTAAGCATGTATTTGACATTTGTCTGTTTCAATTTGGATAAATTAACTGAAATACTGCATATTATCCCACCTTGTGTGTTGTTGCGACTTATCTCACTTGTCTGACAAACCCTCTCTTCAATACCAATATTGAATGCAAGCATTAGAGTGAGAAAATATTCTTATCATTTTCAATATAGGCTTTAACACAATGCATCCAGAACTCAATCAAGAGAATCAGAATAAGACCAGAAAGTTCTTATCCTGATTCTTGTATCAACGTGCAAATTCGAAAAATTATACATAGATTAAAATATTACAATAACATACTTTTTTATTCCAGCTGCAAGAAGAGATGCATGTGGCTGGTGAAGGCTTAAACACATGCCTTCATCTGACATTTCTTGTAATTCTTTGTCTTGTATTCGAATATGATGATGTTTATCATCTGAAATATCATTACATGTATAGGACTTTTTAGGAGAATTCTGTTCTTCGTACTGAAAAGGAAAAGAACCACACGATAATATCAAAGGAAAAAGTGAGGTAGTCGATGAAAATACGTAAATTAATATCAGTCATTCCGAATAAAAATAATTCAGTTATGGATATTAAAAATGAAAATCAAAGTGTACCCAAAAAAGTACTCTTTATTCACAAAATATGAATGCATTTTTTTCAAACAGTAATAAAATTTAATGATAGAACAATCAGAAAATTGCAATTACTATAACAATTTTAAAAATTATGCAACTAAACTGACCAATAAAATAGCAAAAATTGTGTAATAATTTGTGCATATTAACTATCATATTGCTGGTTATGAAGAAATATTGCAATATTACAGATATTCATTATAAAAATATACTGGGGTGTTGGAGTTGCACTTCGGGGAGAAATGCTTAAAAGACTACAGCAGGCTTCAGTTAAAATCCCGTCAGCAGAAGCCCATGGAAACACTCCAGGAATTTGCCATGGATGCTGAAAGACTGTATCATCTTGCAGTTTCCGAGTGCCCAACAAAAACGAGGGAAATTCTGTACCTGCAATACTTCATTGATGGCATCCACTATTCTAAAATACAGAAAGCTCAGCGAATGGTGGATGTCAAGGACTTGAAAAGCACTCTAGTATACGTCATGAAATTCGAGGCAGCACAGCAAGCAAGTTGTAGAGATCGACACCCAATCAGAGCTGCTCAAGTCCAAGAGCCAGTGGATGGCTCATTTAGATGTTTGCAGAGAAGTCAATGCTTTGATACAGAAAAGTAGTGAGAACAAACTGACTCTAATGTGTCAGAAATGCAGTAATAAAGGCCACATTTGATGGAATATCAGAACACCCCACGGCACAGAAAATAAAACAGATGATTCAACCAGAGACATTTAACATCAAACTTTTCATGAATTGATGACAGAATACATTACTGGACCCCCAATAGATATAACTGTTGTATCAATATCTAAAAAAATTAAAATTTTACTTTAAATTGTTATTTAAAATCTGCTACAAGATCACTGTACCCTTCATACACAAGTTATTCCCCCATTTTTCTTCCTTTTCCCTTTTTTCTTGCTCTAAATTTGTCATTATATTTAAAGATTAATTTCACATATGTCAACATTTTTTATTAAATCTTAATCATTTTGGATTTTTAATTCATAAATTTTTATCATTATTTGCTTTATACACACATATCTAAATTAATGGAGCTAGCAGTTCCTTTAAGGTATTCTTTGTTTTCATTGGGACAACATAACATCTTCCACTTGAGATAAACAAACTTTAAAAAAAAATTAAACTTTAATTATTTAAAAAACAGATGAAAATTAACCCAAAATAGTTTTTACTCTTGCTACTGTTCATAAAGACATGTTCAGTTTCCCTTAATTAACCGTATGTTTATGCTACAAAATGAGAGAGAAGGAAGAATAAAAGCTAATAAAATCTAAGACACTACAGTATGTATGTATGTTTATTTTGATATAGGCATGCATGCATGCAAGGGTTATCCATGCAATACTGAAAGGCATTTGAAATACTTTACCATGACCTAAATGAAAGCTTGCATTAACCCTTTGACTACTAACAATACCCACTAAAAGTTTAAAAATTAACTGCTAGGTTGAAAGTACTTAGAATCCCTGAATGCTAAGGGGATCATCTTCCAATAGTTGGAAAATCAAGACGCCGCTGTGCTTCTTGTACACAAATGTACAGAGAGAAAAGAACAAATATGAATTGCTCAATGTGTAATTTTGGATTATGCGAAGAATACTTTACCCTGTACCATACGATGTAAATTTTTAGAATGATAGGTGTACTTATAGTAAGTCGATCGCTATGTGTGGGACATATGCATCCCACCATTAACTATTATAATCCAAACAGTTTTCAATCAGTTTTCCAAACATTGAAAACTGTTTGTCAAAAAAATCCCAAATGCTAAATTTACCTTATTTATGACATATTTTGTTCACCTAGATAGAAAACGGTAATTTTTTTTAAATTCGTTCTCAAAGGGTTAAAATAAAACACTTATAAATATAAAATATTATTTTTCCATTAAAATAATACAAACTGGCATATTTTTTGTTTTGCCATATTTCTTCAGCATTAAACATCACTAGTTTTATTTGGTTTCTTTCCTGGCAACAACTGTCTTTATAAACATTCCTTGCATAACCACATTTTAATTGTGTATCTATTGCTTAGTCTTACGTATGATTCTTCTTATTGCAATATTTACTGTTATTATTTTACTTTAGTTTCTTGCATTTTATTTAGTCATTTGAGTATTTTAACTTCATCTGTACCTTTTTTTAAGTCCAAAGGGGCAATTTTCCCTGAAGGACTATTGTTTTCGTTTTGTGATTTTTATTTGAAACCTTTAAAAGGCTGTATCACGTTTCAAATCGTTGCGACCAAATATTACCCACCTGTATTATATCTGAAGAAATTAGATAATGAAGAATATTCTTAAATGTATATATGCCTCCTTTCAATTGTCACTGCTTTCTACCGTCATGCGCCCTTTGGGCATAAGTATCATGAGCCGGAAACATTGCGCAGAAGCGGCAATATGCCGGCAATATCGATAATGATGATGATGATGTATATATGTTTTTTGCATTGTGATAAAACAATGGTATCTAGAGCCATCAAAATTTGATTAACGTAATCTTTCATAGAATGTGGGCATGCTGAAGCCCTAATTTGAATTTGAAATTTGTTTTATTATCAATTTCATATTTTGTAACACTTCAAAAATTTTTTTATTAAAAACCTAAACGATTTCAAAGCGAGAAATGGCAACATTGTACAGAAAAACCACTTTTATCTCCAGCGCGTGAGACTGTGTATTGGAAATTCTAAAGATATGCTCAATTTAAAATTATTTTGTCATAATGATCTTGAACCGAATTTTATGGTTTAAGTGCAAAGAACATAATATTTAATAAATAAAGTTATCACACAAAATGTTAAAAAAAGGATCCTTTGGGTGTAATTTAAAATCTGAAACCTTTCAGATTTTCTTTTTTTTTTTTTCCTCCTGCCCTTTTTTTCTTTGTATTTCTCTTTTTTTTTTAATATGGTTTCAGGGATGAAACCAACAGAAATTTAATAAAAGGGAAGAAACATTTTTGGGAGAATATCTAGTATGGAGTCAAAGGCATGAGAAAACAAATAACCAAAAACAGATGGTATGGCTTTAACGAAAAAATGGAATTTCTTACACTAGTGTGTAAATTTTTTTCAAGTTTTGATACATTTATATATAATAAAAAAGTCTTCAGTGAGTAAATTTTGATCATCATCCTATTCTGATTGAATTACGGCACTGAAATGGCTCAAATATAAGAAAGGCCTGCAAGGATGAAAAAGTCTTATGCATAAGACACTGTCATATATTCTACATGATACAGTCAAATGTCGTTAATCCGGACACCCATAATCCGGAATGATCTATAATCCAGACCTCAAAACTACAAACTTTCTGCGCATGCGTTACGCATGTGCTTTTAATGTATAACAGACGGTATAAGCTAAGCTAAAATTATCTAATTATCTATTTCAGTTAATGTTGCAGATTGTATTGTTCCTTAATCTTTGACTTGGATCCGGCTTATTATTTTTTGCAGACTGTTAGAGCAATTTTATAAAAGTAAGCTTGAACTTTCGATTTTTTCCAAATAGAATTTCCGATGCTCAAGCTGCCAAAGGATCTGTAAAGCGAAAGCATGTTTCGATGTCCATTAAACAAAAGTAAACTGCTGCAAAAATGGATAAAGGCATGAAGAAAGTGACAGAGAGGTGATTTTGTTTCTAAACCATTCCGAAATCTGTTTATCAATTTTATGCTGCTCTGCGGAAAGGGAGGGAAATGTCGAGACATGCAATGAACTGGAAGTTGATCTGTCAGCACTATCCTCATCTTCAGGGCAGATGTTTTTATTTTATTCAGCTTATAATTCTTTATTAAATGTAGTGTTTCATCTCGATGTACTCCGATATCGTTTAAAGCAATTTAATCGTCATTATAAATATCACGAATACACATCAAATAGTTTTCTAGTTGCAATGTTCTAATTTCGACTATGCGTAATATATGCTTTGCGCATGCACGTGTTGAAAGAAATTTTTAATAAAGTAAACAAATAAATATTAAGCTTTTTTTTTTTTGTAAATTTTGATACCCTTTAGATCATAATTGCTCTTTATTTCATAAATTATGGTTTCATTGCTCTTTATTTCATAAATTACAGTTTCATATTTTTAATTTTATAATTTCTGCATGCCATCTTACCAGATTTAAACTGATGATCTATAATCCGGAAAAACCGATAATCCGGAATCGCCGAAGTACCGACGAATCCAGATTAAAGACTTTTGACTGTATATATCACATATTCCACTTGATATGAATGTGTCTTGCAAGAAAGATAAATAAGTGGTTACTATCATATCTTGAAGTAAATCTAAGCAAATACATTACAATTCAAGGATAAGTCCCAAAATAGTATCACATGCACATATTCAGTACAAAGTCTGGGATCTGGATTTGTGAAGACTTTAGCAATTTCAGATTTTGGAATTTTCTGGGTTTCAGATCATCAGTTAAATATTATAGGATATGATGTCTAACTATTAAGTAGCTGTATATGAAACAATGCAGCATTTATGATCTTAGGGGAATCAAAATTTATATTTAAAGAAAAAAACTAAATATTTATTTATTTCTTTTATTAAACGTTTCTTTATCAATGTAAGTTATTAAGTTACTTCATATAATTTCTTGCTTAGTTACAAAATTCCATTGTTCAAGTCCTCTAATTGCCAAGTAAAAAATTCCTACTATATTGTTAATCAAAAATTTTTCGTTCTCAGCAACCTCATTTTCCCTTTCTTCACTATTCACTTTTCTGTATTTAGAACCATACTATACATACATATATACTATAGATAGAATTTTATTTCAGCACACCTTAATGCTTACTTAGCATCTGCTATACACTACTGGTGACTTATTAACTATTAGTAAATATTAGTTTAGTTACTTATTAAAATTATGCCTATTTCCCACACGTGCTTATGGCTTACCTGAATCCAAAATAAATAAATTCCTATATATACTTAATGCTTATCAGAATAACAAATCAGTTATTCTTAATTCAAACAGCACTAAATGTAATTACCTGGCAACATTTACAAAATCTCTTTTTGCATATAGGAAAAAATTTCTGTTAAATTTCTGCTCATTAATACATGACTGTTTCACAGAGCAACTGGTTCAAGTCTGTAATCGCACCAAATGAATTAGAATATTGTACAACTGCACCAATGAAATATTAGTAAATGAACACCATGTCATTGGGTGTTCAATTACTAATATTTTTTTAATATATATTAGGCATCTCTTCTGCAATCATTTCTCAAGCTGCCATGAATTGCATTAAGTCTGTGATGATGAAACCAAAAATTAATTAAAAAATTATTACTAGTTTGGTGTCAGGAATATAAGCTATTCAAGAGGAGTAAAATCAGTGATGAACTTTCATAGAATGTTTCAGAGTGAGATCATTGCTAAGCAAAAAGCCTGCAACAGAACCAATAAATTATTGATTGTGTAAATTTAAACTAATAAATGATTGTGTTTCTTCAATATGGAGGTGTATTTAGCACAGAACTGAAATTAAAAATCAGGAAATTTTACATATTTCACTATGAAAAAATGTTTACAGAACAAGAATGAAGCATTAAACATTTATTAAAGGGAAACACTACTTTTGGAACGTATTTTGCTCATATTTGTTTTTGGGCATTTGTGTTTCTCAGTCTTATAGGCAAATAGCAGTTACTAAATATTGGATTTATTCAAGAAGTTCTGAAAATGAATTTTCATAAGGATTCGGACACTTTCAACAAACAATTTATATATATTAAAAACATGAAAATAATGGGGCATTCAATAATTCACTGAGTATCTCATAGGTAGAATTATGTTTTTCATGCACTCTGGCATGGATTCAAGTAATTTTTCATGTTAGAATGTTCCATTCTTCTGTTAGAATTACTTTTCGTAGATCTTTAAAAGAAATATCATGCTTCCTTACTCTTTCTCCAACTCACTTCATACATGTCCGATAGAGTTTATTTCCAAAGGTTATGGAGGAGTTTTAATTACTTCAGAACAGTTACATATTGACTACAAATGAACATTTAAAAGGCTGTATGTTTAGGATCATAATCCTGATAAAACTTAAGTGTAATTTACATTCCAAGTTTTCTTCCAGATGTTTTCAAATTTCCATTGAGAGTATTTCTAGATTTATACCAATGCATATTATTTCCATAAAAACAAAATTTCCTACCTGACAGCTGCGAAACATCCCTAGATCAAAAGTCTTAACTTCCAAGCTTGGCAACAGATTTTTTGTATTCAAATCAAAAATAATTCATCCATCAAACCACAACATATTAAATTCTGACTCATCTGAAAGCATAACATTGTTCCAATATGATAACTGCTTGCTTACCATACATTTTGCGGATGCCAAATGTATTTTCCTTGTTGATGAAGTATTCCCATTTTGCTGACTGTCCATCGTATCCATTTCCTTCAATGACTCATCTAACAGTTTCGGGATTAACTTTTATTGAAAACTGTTTTTCTAAATCCTCTGCAAGTTTAACAGCACTAATGCTTGAGTTTTATTTGATTTTTCATAGGATAAATCTCCAATTTTTCTCGTTACCTTCAGTGCATTTTGAACAGTTCTGTGCAGTTTCAAATACTTTATTAATATTAAATATAGTTAAATGTTTTACATTAAAAACTTTGAGGGCCACTGTCACGCTGGCGTGACTTTTGCTCGCCAACAGTTATTGGCCGCTGTCACGTATGCGTGACTTATTTTCGCCAATGACCATGCTTTACATCGACGTTTCTATAGATAGACATACCATAGAAAAACATTTGACGATCAGGAAACATTGGCTTCAGCTGTTTTCCTCTCCCAATTGAGATAGTCTTTTGCTTCCTTCAAATATCAGAAACTTACGCTAGATTTAAAGATATCCTTCAAAATGCTCTTCGATGAGGAAATATATGCTGATCTGTTATCAGAAGAGGATAATTGCTCTGATAGTGAAAGTGATTCGGACAGTGGGAGCGATATAATTGTGAGACGATTCAAAAGTAAGGGAAGAGAAATAATTAGTGAATCTGAAAGTGATGAAGAGAATTCTGTGGCAAATGATTGGTCAGAAGTTGATTCTAAACTTTCATGCTTTCCCGGAACGGTTTGGGTTACCATACACACCAGATATATTATCAACTGTGGAATTTTTCATCGGGGCCGATTTATTTAATTTATTTGCCACACAAACAAACTTGTATCATAATCAGCAGAATAATGATAACGACAATGCATCAACAAAGAAAAGCTTGGATTGATACAAAAGTTGTAGAAATGTAAAAACCAGAATGTTGTAGAAATGTGAAAATGTAAAAAGAAAACCAGAACAAGACGATTATTGGTCTACTCACCCTGGATTACATACACCTATTTTTGGGGATACTATGCCAAGGAACCGATTTTGGCAGTTATGGAAGTATTGGCACTTCAGTAATAATGAGCATTGCCAAGAAAGGCTTGATAAAATAAAACCAGTTTACTCGTACCTGGTAGAAAAGTTTCAAAAAAAATATTAACCCGAGAAAGAATTATCGCTGTATGAAGGTATCATTCCATGGAGAGGCAGGCTATCTTTTTGTACATATAATACTGCGAAAATTATAAAATATGGAATTTTAGTCCGCATGGTGTGTGAGGCGACATCTGGTTATATATGCAATTTAGAAATATATTGCTCGCAAGGAGAATCGCTAATTGCGACAATATTGTCCGTGCCATCGCCATATTTAAATTTATGGCACGATGTATAATATGGACAACTACTACAACAGTGTAAAGGTTGCAGAGAAGTTACTAAAGCATAAAACATACACCTGTGGCACAATTAGAGTAAGCAGAGGAAAGCCAAATTGTTTAAAATCTGCTACATTGAAAAATAAGTCAATGGCATTTCGTAGGAAAGGGAAAATTATGGTATAAAAATGGAATTCAGCCAAACAATTCATAATGATGATTTCTACAATACATTCAGCAGACATGTTCGAATGTGTGAGTAAAAGAACCAAAAAGAAGTGCATTAAACCAATTTGCATACACAAGTATAATAAATTTATGAAAGGTGTTGATCACACCGATCGTGTTATTCCATACTTTGCAAAACAAAAAAATGGACAAAAAAAAATGGTTTTATATCTCATAAACTGTGCATTACTCAACGTGTTCCAGATATACATAAAAAATTCTGAAAATCCTATTAGATTCAAACAATTTTTACTAAATCTTGCACTAGTATGGATTAATGGGAATGAAGAGGAGTGACAATCAAGATCGGCTGCTCAATGTGATAAAAGATCGCTGAGGTTTGATCCACCAGGCAGACTTACTACGAACATGAGAAAACATAGAATAACATGTAATAGTGATAATGGGAGAATTCAAAACCCGTGAAGGGCCTGTAAAGTCTGCACTGCCGCCAAGAAAAGAAGTTCCACTGCATACATTGGTTCTTCCTGCAACGTTTCTCTGTATGTTGGAAAATGTTTTCAGAATTATCATACTAAAAAGAACTATGGATCCTAGGAGTTAAATTTTTTAAATAAAACGTTTTAGTACTAATTAAGAAATATAATTTGAATAAAATGGAATAAAAATAGTGTAACAGTTATTTTAGTGCTTTCTTTAATAATAATTATATACCAACTACTTATGTTTCAAAAAATTGTGTAAATATCACTGTTGGCGAGCAGTAGAACCTGCGTGAACCGGCGTAACGGCACTTCGGTAAATGTGGGATCCACAAAGTGTTAAGATTGTTTTGGATATTTTGAATACTACTGTTTTTAAAATGAATTTATACTAAAAAAATTTCATTTCTAACAGAATTTGTCTTAATTTGCAGCACCTTGCCATGTTCATGCTAGATATAATCACTGATTTTACTACACAAGTTACAATTTGCAAATATAGATGATATATTTTCATTTAAAAGAAAGAAATTATGACAAGCAACATCATCTCAGCAAAACATTTTAGTGTCCTAATTATTATGCCATTTTCCGATTAACACTTTTTGAATAAATTATTTTATTACATAGAATATTTTGATGGTATTTATTTTTGCAAGAAGCAAGACTAAAAATAGAAAAAAATAATATATTAGGAAACAAATTTCTATGTTTCAATAAATAATACAAGATTTAAGCATACAAATTTAAAAAATATAAGTATCCAAAAACAAATGTAAGCCACTGCAATTCTTTCTCCCTTTTTACATAAAAATTTCTAAAAGGAAAATAACTGCTGGTGGTGTGGAGATCCAGCTATTGAATGCCTGAATTTTGGACTTTGTACTGCATAATTTTCTTATGTTAGGCTATGCACATAACCCAAATACAACTTCAGTTTAATACGTTTTAATGTTTTAATCTACCACACGCATTTATAAGCACATAAACATAATAATTACATAAGAGAGTTAAATTATACTTACAACCGGATGAAGGTCTAAAGCTATATTTAGAGATGAGGCATCTTTACATTCAAAAATACTAGTGTCCGACTTCAGCAATTCTTCAACATCTACTTTTATTTCTGGTGTCTCTTCAATAATTTTTCTACCAGCAAAGTCAAATGTGAGTTTTTGCTTTTGACGATTAAGAAGCAAATTATCTACTTCTTCTTTCTTTTCTTTTAAAATTTTTCTTTCTTTAGCACTTAACCACTTTGAATCCACTTGAAAATAATCATTTTCATCATCAATTACTTTGGCTCTTCTTTCTCTGTTTTAAAATAAAATTCAAATTATAAAATATTTATTTTAATATTTATTTTTAAAAGAGATTTCATTAATCAATACATAAATAATAATTAAACCACACTTCAGCAACTTATAGGTCACTGAATGACCCATTTCATAATTACTAGAAGTAACCCACTTGAGTTCCGAAAATGAAATATAATATATAAAAATAAATTATAAAACATAAATATGCAACAAGCACTTGAATGATATATACAAAAATAAAGTGAAAATAAATAATAACAATAACATTTCTGTTTGATTGCAGTAAGGAAATTGCAGTAACTAACATGCATTTTTAAAGACTAAATAATTTTAAGGAAAAATCAAAGGTTTTGGCATTGGCAATCTGTAATCCATAATTAAAAAAAAAAAAAAAAATGGCTTTGCCATTTTGTCTGCTTTCAGTTCAACTTATATAAAAGCGAGCAACAATTTTCATACATGAAATTTATTTTCAGTAAAATTAATAAGTAATTACAGGAGCAGCTTGCTACTGAAAACTCAGATGCCTGTATTCATTTTAAGATGTCTAATTATAAGCAACACTTGACTAAACTGAGATCACACGTTCAGGATCAGGGAAGCCACTAATATCAAAAAGCAAAATAAAGTTCCTTCAGTTGTGTTTTTTTTAAATAATTAGAATTAGAATTTTATTTTTATGTTTTAAGTTTAAAGCATATTGTAATTATTTTCTCAATGATATTTATCTTATTATTTACCAAGAAAGACTCCTATAATGAAAATATCACTGGCCCGAAATGTTTTTAATACATGTTTTTTGGCCAATTTTGACTCACAGCCAAAAAACCCTGAATTAAATCATTCCAAACAAGAGTTTATACATTATTTCAAGCAAAAAGGATGCCAATTATTTCTGAGCATGGGTTGTAATAACAAGGAGAAAACTGATGCTTTTTCCTTTATGTTACAAGATGCACAGTAAAAGGCCTTTCAGTTTTAAAGTAAACTGCTTACCATATATTAGGCACAGAAATATTTTCTTGTCTAAAGCTTTGTAATTAATTTATAGCCAATAACCATTTCAGAATATAATTGAATTCCATTAAATTGTACTCCCAAAATAATCTAAATACTTCACATACGCAGTAAATAAAATTATATGAAAACAGAACAGTGCTGAAATATGAACAATACTTGCTACAGCATGAGAAATTTCAAAATTTCTACCTTATTAAAATAAGTCATATATGATGAATTCACAATCACTTGTAATGAAAGATCTCAAATTAGATTTTTTAATATAAAAATTAATTAAAAAAACACTAAAAAATTATTTGTAAGTTGTAAGCAGGATGAATAGGGAAAAAATTATCAACCTGTATTCTTGCATATATCAACACACATATTGTTCCATGTAAAAAGAATGGAATATAGTAGCATACTCAAAGAAATTTCAAAGATAGTATGTCCTGTCAAAGGAATTTCAAGTAGGTATTAAAACAGTAGTCAGGGGCTATGGTATGATAGTACCATACATACATGCACATAAAAATGTCCTCAACACAGTCAACTTCTACATATTGATTATATCATAAAAATAAACCAAATAAATTCTTATGCAATAAATGAATGTTTTTTATGAAAACATAGGTATCAGCTTACCAAATTCAAAAATCAGATGAATTTTCTAAGAAATCAGGAGAATGTTTTAAGTGACAAAAATGATTTTTGAAGACAAAAACTCACATAAAGAAATCATTTTTGAAACCATTAACAATATTTACACATTATTCTACCGAATGTGAAAGTTGGTTACCTTCAAATAATGAAAGCCTGCAAACATAACACCAAAGTTGTGCCAATCATTTATTCCAAATTCTGAAGGAACTGACATTTTCTTATGTAATAAACAAATCAGTATCTGACCTGCTTCATTTTTGCCTTTTGTAAAGAGACTTTTATTGATTTCTTCTGTTTTGTTATATTTTTCCAAAGCTTTCTTTAGAGCTAGAGAAACTTTTCACAGGTCAACTATTACTGTTCTGTCAACCATATTCAGCAGATGACATCATGTTTATTAATATAATTTTTTTATAGTAGAATCTCATAACTTTGAAAATAATCCATTGCCATGAAGAAGATCCCAATTTTTTTTTTTTTTTTTTTTTTTTTTTTTTTTTTTTTTTTTAATGCAAGCAAAAATAATGTCATAGTAATTATTTAAGCCTTGTGTTTTAGTTAATTAATCCAGTTACCGTAATTGACGGCATATAAGACACACTTTTTTTTCCTAAATTTGGTCTCAAAAAAGTTACCTGCGTCTTATACGTGAAGGTAATTGCATTCAATAATTGTTTATTTGGCTTTTACGAAACGTGAGAACTAAAAGAAACCACGCTATTGAAATTTTTTTACCTTGTGTGTGGCCATCTAAATAAGGGTGCGTCTTATATGCCATCAAATACGGTAATTAATATAATTGTGCACAAAATTAAAAATCAAGAATTCTTGGCTTGTCAAGAACTAATCAGGGTTACATCAAATGAAAGCAGAGATATTACAAGTGTATTGTTACATCACGCCTATCCATAATCGGCGCTTAATGACACTGCTTAACAAGAATTTCAGAGTCTGTGGGATAATATGCAAGTACCCAATTATTTATCTTGAAATAATATCTAATAAATGTCTGAGGCAAATAGTACAAATTCTTTTTAATCATGCATACCTGTTAATACTCTCCTAAATACCTTATTCAGTTTTTATATAATTATTAACAACCACAGCAGATTTCACTTTCTTTAAGAAATTAATTTTGTTTACAGCAATTGCCATTTAGGCCATGTTTTTTGCTAATAAAAGTTATGCTAAGATTAACAGCAATGACCTTTCTACTGTGCAAAATCAAAAAATTGCGATGATAAATAGTATACATTGCAAGTACAGTACAAAGTCTTTAATCCGGACTTGTCGGGACTTCAGTGATTCCGGATTAGGGGTTTTTCTGGATTATAGATCATAAATTTGAATCTGGTAAGATGGCATGCAGAGATTATACAATTAAAAATATGAAACCATAATTTATGAAATAAAGAGCAATTATGATCTAAAGGGGATCAAAATTTACAAAAAAAAAAAAAAAAAAAGCTTAATATTTATTTGTTCACTTTATTAAACATTTCTTTCAATGTAAGTTGTTTAAGTAGCTTCGTTTTTTGTGCTAATACTTTCTCTTTAATTCTATAAACAGACATAATTTCTTGCTCAGATCCACTGTTCAAGTCTTGTAATTCTGTGTTGAGAATACCGACTAACTTGTCAATCCAAATTTTTTCGTTTTCAATAAACTCTCTGTCACTTTCTTCACTATAGGAAGTGGTACATCAAAACATGCTTTCACTTTGTAGATCCTTTAGCAGCTCCAGAATCGGAAACTCTTTTTGACATAATCAAAAGTTTAAGCTTACTTTTCATAAAATTGCTCTAACAGTCTGCAAAAAATAATAAGCCGGGTCCAATTAAAAGATTAAGGAACAAAGCAATCTGCAACATTAACTGAAAAAGATAATTAGATAATTTTAGCCTAGCTTATATCATCTGTTATACATTAAATGTGCATGCGTAAATGTATTATGCGCATGCGTAAATGCACAATGTGTTTACGCATGCGCAGAAAGTTTGTAGCTTTGAGGTCTGAATTATAGATCATTCTGGATTATGGACATCCGGATTAAAGCCTTTGTACTGTATATAATATTTTCTGAACAATATAATACAAAATGATTTTTAAAAATTACATGAGTACTTTACTTTTTTGCACACATAAGTAAGATAAGATCGTAAAGTTTTAAACCATTTCTTGGGGCTTGTGAAAATCACATCGATTAACAAATCAATGTGATTCAGAAAATACAAAGAAAACCTCAGTACTGCTTTAGGTTCATTGGCAAATACAAGCAATATAGCCAACAGCCTTATTTAATGCTCTTTGGGGAACATGATGTTTTCAGAAATATTTATCCTCATGTGTATAATGTAATTCACCATTTCACCATACTACAAGGTGTCCCATCAAAATCACCCAAACTCTGCACAGCCAGATTTCTTGATTGGAATACACATAAAATGTTCAAAGAATTGCACCTGTATGACCCTCAGTTTTTAATATTAAATGCGAAGGAAATGTATGATGTCATATCTGGTGAAAAACAATAGTTTATTGGAAACACAAACATTGGTAACTGCATATGTATATACAGAGCAACATTCAAAATGTCCATTGTACATATCCAGGCATGTATGCATCTTTCATATTTATAAGGCTGCATCTAGTAGCCCAGTTTGCATAGTAATAATGTATTGTGTACGTTATTGGTTGGATATGAAATACCCAAGCCACTGGATTGGATGTAAGGATCCGGTTTTTTTAAAGCTACCAAATCTGATAATTATAGATTTCTTCCTATGAAGGAATTGCTTTTTCGAGACTTAGTTACAATGAAACACAATTTAGCTGCTTGTCTTCATGCTGCTTATACTTTGATGGGCACCACTCTGCTGCACCATGTGAAGTAAGCCATTCTATGGATTGAGCATGCATGTCTTAATGCATGGAGTGGACATTTTGAACATCTTATTTAAAAATAAGCAAACACAGGGTTCTTACACATTTCTGCACGCAGAAATTAAGTGCTTTTAAGGACCATTAATGAAAAAAATTAAGGGCCTATGAGGAAATGAGAACTGAATAAATTTAATGAAAAATATTATCTATGCCTGAATTTCACTTTTGTAATACCATCCTAAAAATGAAATAGATCACTAAGTAGTATGCATTATTACTAAACATGAATTAATTAACATAATGATTAATAAGTTTGAGAATAAAATAAACTTTATGCAATTTATCAAGTAGCATTTAATATTTTACACTTATAATAGTTGGACATATTTGAAAGAAGATAAGTGACATTTACATTTTATTAACAATTAGCTTTATGTTGATTTTTTTTA